GTGAATTGAGTAATGAGGGTACCTAGAGAAACAAGCGTCGTGATCAACTTGAAATTTAATTTTTTGTTTTTGTGCGTGACTAAACAACGGTTGACTTTCTATTTAGAATTCGAATTGACTCTTGAAACATTGATGGAAGTAAGAAATTTCTATTTATCAATCCTATAATAATATTATAGGAAGATTACAAGTATAGTAAGAAAGGATGACTTCATTTAGATTGAGATTGCAGAAGATATATTAAACAACAAATCTGACTTCCATTTAATTAATAGATTCGAGATTCTTTAAAGGAAAAAGCAGAAATTTGTAAGCCAAGGCAGCTTAATTTCCAAGAAATTGTTGGGTTGGAAGAATTCAATATGGCTGATAATGTATTTGTTTATTTGAAAATATTGAAGGACTGACTCTCAAAATTGTACCCAATTATGTTATGTGTCACTAAGACATTGTATCAATTGCTTTCTTGCTCAGGCAATCTAATGATTTCATGGTCACTAATTAACTCAATATCGCCGGCTGGTTGACCAAGAGGTGCTCCAACGGGAGCTCCTCCTGGAGCACCTGCGGCTGGAGCATCCGCTGCGGGACCTCCAGGGGGAACTGCAGCGGGTGCTTCAATGGGTGCTTCAGCAGCGGGTGCTTCAAGTCCATTATTCTGAAAAGTATACGACCGGAGGTCCCATTGGTCGTATATTCTTAACACAACACAAATTCTTGTCCACAATGAGGCTCCTGGAACAAGTCGTCTTAGTTGCTGCAAGATCTCCTGACGTTCCGCATGCAAGAACATGGCAGCACATATGAGCAGAGCAAATGCTGAAGCAACCCCAGTAATGAGAAAGAGGCCCCAAAAGCTATCAAGGTTGAGACTACTCGAAGAGACCAGGCTGTTGGGGTCTGCACAACTTGCTTCTTTCTTGAACCATATGCGCTCAATGTCTTTCATTTTCTCTCCCTCGCTCACATTTAAGATTGCCCTCGAAACGTCACGGGCAAGAGGCGAACCTTTTGGGAAGACCTGCAAGTTACAAAAGATTCCCAGATGAGAAAACGTGGTGGATATCAACAATTTAGAGAGAGACAAAGTGCAAGTGAACTTACAAAGCCAAAACCATCGGCTTTAAATGTTGGAGGAATCATGGTGTATTTCGAGCTGCAGAAATAGTTTCATGTAGGGTGTTTCATCAAAAGCTGCAGAAATACCATATTTTCTACTACCATTGTGAAAAAGTTGATTCAACTCTTCTGCAGAATTAAAGGTCTTAAGATTCTCATCCTGAAAGCCTACTTGTTTCAAAATCCCATAAACAAAAGAGCCTCTTTGATAAGCAACATTGTTCCTATTCTTGATGAGCAAGTTTACATCAGTAACAGTTGGTTGGAGCTGTTGAACTGTTAATAGAGATGTTAAACTGGCGGTATAACTTTGGGTCAGTATGAGAACCACAAAGCACCATAGGATCACTACAAATCTAGCCAAGTTGCTCACCCTGGCTCCCCTGTTACAAAAGTTCAAAAGAACAAGTTCAAAACTACTCATTGTCCTTTGGATTTTACTCTTTGAGGCATTTGAACTTACGGTGTGCGAAAACCATGGTTGAGAAGGTGAACCAAAAGATTGTGCCAACTTGGTGATCCGGAGGGCCACGAAAGTCTTTGTTTATCCGATGTTCCAGAATCCAGACAACAAAACCAATGGATATGGAAGAACACCCGCTTGTTACCCAGAGTTCCCATGTCAAAGGCTTCAAGAACACCCATGCTTTCTTACTTTTGTTGTCTTTGATAGGCACAACCATGAACACCCCAGATTCTGTGTATGGCAATGTAAAGTCAACATATAAGGACCTGTTTGCTCTAATGGTTATATCTCCCACTGCAGCATCATAGTTCTTTCAAGAAAACATGTCATTGTGTCAGTGAAGAAACCGGATAACTTTGCTAAATTGCTACTTTAAAATGTGACTCAGGGCACAAAAGAAAAACACAAAAACAGAAGGAAAAAGAGCTAAGAATGAGAGTCTTACCCCAAGAAATACTTGATTGACCAAGTCATTGTAACTGCCAGCGGCCTCACCCTTAGGCTTTGCATAGGGACAGAGCTCGTAAGGAACAGAGTACGGTAACGATTTTATTACAGCTTTGAAGACGTTTATGCAGTATCCACCATTGACAGTAGATGTATTAGTCCCAGGGTCGTAAGTCACAGTCACAAATGTTGAAAAACCGTCCTGTACAGGGACTAAAATTTTCAGCCTTGTATCACTTGTAGGAATTTGCCAACCTTTGGAAGCAGAGGTGGTATCTCCAGGCCATATAAGGGATCCAAGACTAATATCAGAAGTAGAATATCTGCCTGTTTTTGTTGAATTTAATTTTCTTTCAAGTCCATTTTGAGGTGTCCAATATCCAACCAATTTCTCTCCATGGCCAAACACATCAACTATCTGAAAAGTTGATGATTGTAGTTGGCCATTAAGAAGACTGAAATCTCCTGAAAGGCCTTTGAAACTTGTAGCTAATAGTGCCTGGACAAGTTGAGGACCATTTTGAGAGATCCCAAATCCTTCTAGAGCAGTAGTACTAGAATTACCAGATGTCCAATTCATCTTTTGGAGGCTGAAGTTTTTAGCCCCAACTTTCTCAACTGCCATGGCCAGTGCCCAAGCAGCATCATAAGCCCAAAATCCAAAAACATCAAGTTTAACACCATGGACAGTTGGATTGTCATGTTGGAATTTCCTTTTCCATCTAACTCTAAAACTTTCAAGCTCTTCTGTATTTGGGACATAAGTTTTTATACCCAACACCCCTTGCATATTTTCTATGACAGAAGAATTTATGTAACTGAATGAGTTGCTAATGCCATCAGTCATTATCCAAGCATACCCTTCCTCCATCATGCCAATCTGATTTGCCTTGTCGAAAAGCCGAGAGCCAAGAGAAGGTAGCATGTGCACAATGAAGACCTGAGTTTGCAATCCCTTCAACTTGTAAAGCTCTGCCGCAATTTGTCATCAGTGGCCTTTGGAGAAATGATACTCCGGTAGGGGATTCGAGCATCAACTCCTTGCAGAGCATCAGAAAGGGAAGGTATGATTCCCTCCCCAAACTCATTGTCAACATAGATGGGCACTACTTCTCTCCAACCAAAGGCTTGGATGATGGCACTTATGGCTTTCACTTGGGATGAGTCATTTTGTGCAGCTCTGAGAAAATATGGACTCCGAATGGAAGTGAGAGATGGGTTCGTTGCAGAATATGAAATTATGGGCACTTGGGCTTTGTCTCCAACGCTAATTACAAAGTTGGTCTGCATGGATGATTCTGGACCTATGATTGCTTGCACTTTAACATTCTTTATTAGGTCCAGAGCTGTTCCAAAGGTGAAAATGGATAATTAAATAAAATACTGATATGTGGTTCCCAATAAAAATAAATACTAATCAACTCATAATAAAAATCAACTGAGTATTAGAAAATAAGTGGGTGGCATGGGTTAATGGATGGAAAAACAAAAAACAAAAAAAAAATCTGAAAAAAGAGAAGAGAGTTAAGATAGAGAGAACCTGCAGAAGCTGTGACAACAACATCTGAAGGGGAATTTCTTTTGTGCAGAACAAGCCTACTGTTGTAGTAAGAATGAGAGGCATATAAGTCAGAGAGGGACATGTTGATGCAGGTCAGACCCTTCTTCCCGAACAAGAACCACACCAACATTAACTGGGGTGTTCTGTGCCGTGGCCAAGAAAACAGACCAAAACAGTAAGAACAAGAAGCAAAGACAAAAAACAGGGTTGCAGCTAGCATTCTTGACCATGTTTGAAATTCTTCAAAGTTCTGCTCTGCAACTGATGGAATCGAGTAACGAGGAATCTTGTTTATGTACACACTTTAATAATGTCAAATTGTCAACGTTTGAGTTTGGTTCAATAATTTGTTCCATCTAAATTGATTTTCTATATCAATGGGACTGGGACGTTCATATTGCTTTAGCTTGTACAAGAAAAGAAAAAAAATCAATTGTTAGTGTATATATATATGTTGAATTCTTGTGTAACACGCTTTTATTTCTTTCATATTTTTGCATGCCTGTTGATTTTTCCGTACCTATATTTACTTTTGGCAAATCAGAGAACTACTACCATTCAGGTGAAGATTATTTTCTATGAAGTTTAAGTCTACTTAGGCTAACTTTACAGAGTGCTGAGGCCTGCTAGGCTTGTTACTCTTGCTCTCTATCGGTCTAATTTACACGTTCATTTTACCCAGAAGAAGCAGAATAACTTCTTAAAGAAAAAAGCACATGAAATTGCTAGATTTACAGCCAGTTTAGGTGAATTGAATATTGAAGGGTGTCAGTGCCAGCGACCTGGAGAACACATGGGATGATCAACTAAACAACAGTTGACTTTATTTTTAGGATTCAAATTGGATCTTCAAACATTGATGGAATTATATAACAGTCATCTTTTAGACTTTCTGCACTCTCATTCAAAACAAATCTTGATGCCTACAGGGACATAAGAACAAATGCAAATTTTGGCATTGAAAACTTCAAGTAGAGAATAAGCCGTAATGTTCTCTTGTGCTATGTTGTTAAAGTGTCAATCTCAACACTCTAAATTCAAGAATTTTTCGCACAAATTTCCAAGTGAAATTCGAATAAACGGACTACATTTATTGTTATAAAATTATATTTGATCTTGGTAGTTGGTGAAGCACCTACTTACTAAGGCAACTAGTGTTGTGCTCTCGGTTAGACGTGCCCAGAAGTAGCCGATCTAAACAACTGGACATAACGAACTCCATATGCCTGCACTGAACAAATGGTAAACAGATTGTTTTTGGCGGTTTACTAAATTGCCTATAATGTTCTAGGGAAAGGAAAATAAATGTCAAAGTAAAACAGGAGAAACAATTCAATTAGTAGAAAGTAGGCAGTCTTATCTAAGATTACAGATTTTCATATGTTGTGACGGTTTATTGACCATTCGTGTCGAAATCTGGGTCCCCGATCATGTAAGTGGTATTAGTGAGCTTTTTTCGGCCGCTAAGAGTCGAAAAAGTCCTTTGTGCTACAACAATAAAAGCCGCTGCTACCACATAATTCTGCATTCGTCTATACACCTCTGCGAAGATTTTCCCCAAAACACAACATAGTTTTGGGAATCTCCATCCGTTCGAAAAGGAACATCAAATGGTCCCTACTTGGTAATTTTACATAAAATTTTCCACAAAAATATTGTGTAGATATATTACATGCCAAAAATAATCTGAAAGAACACTCCTCCCTCACAAAGCCATTTAGCAGCACAACTTCCCCAATGGATTGCGGGTCTGAAAACTCAACAGAAGATTCAGTCCCATGGCATTCTGCGGCCACCCTGCATCGGAAAGCATTGCTGTGAGAGATGAAACTCCAGGAAAGTAAGATAATACCCAAAAGCATGTGCTATTATGAGTCCTCTCCATTTGAAAATCATAAAGATTGATGAGGCCAATGTATCCAAATAGCTCTTGCACATCAACCACGTCCCCTTCCCTTCTGATCCAGCAAGTTTCTTGAGTGTCACTGCATGAATGAGAGTAGATACTTAATAATCACACTGGAACTTAAATCATTTGATTATTTATGTTGTAAAATTCATGATGGGAGAAGACCAAAAACACCTCCGGTGCTTTCTAGTCCTTAGCAACAATAACAAGAAGGAATGCATGAAAGTAAAAAATAAGTACACATTATGGAACTTGGTAATGTAAATATTAGTAGAAAAAGATAGCAGTTACATGAAAAAGCCATCTAGCTACTGAGCAATTTGCACTTTTCAAGATGTGCTTCCTTCTTACAAAGATATATGGATTGAATATGTGGCTGTAATACAATGATTCTCACTCCTCAACCCCTGGGGAAGAAGAAAAGAAAGAAATCTCCCACCCCTAAAAAGCCCTTATTCTAATTTCTAACATCTATAAGCTACAATTTTTCATAAGAGATAGAATACAAGGTTTAGGGATGTACAGTGCAAAAGTTGATACTTTGGACCCTAGCATGGCAAATAAGATGAAATTATGCCATTCATTTTGACAGGAAAGAACAAGAAAGCATATATAAACAACAATTTTTAGAACGCCCAATTTTAATTCAACTCCACTGAATAAAATTAAGGGAGTTTCACTAAAACATCCAAAATAGGGGTTGAAATTATAAAAAAACCCAACACCCAAAACACTTTTATAAACACACCCAAAACCAATTATTACAAACACTCAAAACTCATTTATAAACACATTCAAAATATATACAATTGTTGATTTTGGGGTTGATTTTGGGTGTGTTTCTATGTTTAAACAGTGTTTGGGTTTTTTTATAAATACATGTCTGGAATTGGGTTTATTTATAAATTTGTATAAAAGTAACAGCTAACTTAACAATAGGATTGAAATTTACACCAAACCCAATTAGCGACACTACGCAATTGGAGGCTGGAGCCTAGAGAATTTCAGACCCACAATGTGTAAAATGAAGTTTTAAATAAAAAGTTTTTTACCTTTAACCTTTCCATGCCATTAACGTAATTGGGGGAGCTTTCATACGGGTTCACAGCTAAAGCTCTCGCATCCTATAACTGAGGGACCTCGTCCCCAACCCCCTTTTCCGTCTAGCGCTCTATTTGACGACACGCCGTCGTTACGAGACGGTTTGGCCACAATTGCAGGTCGACATTTTCCCATTCTTCAAGCTCTGGGCAGGAATTGATCAAAAGCAATTAAAAAAAGTTCTACAGAGGAAAGGAAAGGAAGGAGGAGAAAGAGAAATTGGGCTTTGGGTAACGAGCCGATTCAGTCGTTGTTTTGTTCTGTGTTTTCTTAATGGGCTATTTGTTTGGGTCTCTTGTTCTATATTTTGTTATTTGAAGCACCTTGTATTTTTATTTTATACGATTTCTGTATCTAACTCGTCATTGTGATTTTGGGTCTGTTTATAGGGCTTTTATCCACCTGTCTTTTTATGAAGTATTTTCCACAAAAACGAAAAAAAAAAAAAAAAAAAAAAAACCACAAAGGGGTTTGCATTATTTTTCTATAATTTTTATATATTAAAAAAAAATCTTCATATAGAGGGCGTTGACATGACTAAATTTAGTTGTAACTAGCAAAAGGTGCCCGCGCGATGCTGCGGGTTTTAAAATTGCGTGAAATGTGTATAAAGCGATGAAAATAGGCAGGGAACATCTCAACTACGCAATTGCCAAAACACTCAAAGGATTTACCAACATGTTCAAATATTGTAATCATCTAAACCTATCATTACAACAACAAATTAACACCAACCAATTGTCAATTGATGCCATTAGCTAATTCCTATGCTCTATTCACAAAACTTAAAACAATTAATTGAAATTTCAGCCTAGAAACTCACCCCTTGCTTAACAGAACTGAAAACACCAACCAAACTGCTCTATCCAAAGCAAAGAAAGACCACCTGCAAAATATCAAAAGAAAACATGATTTTTTTAAAAAGAAGAAAAAGAAAAAACAGAAAAATCGGGGAAGAAATTAGCTTGAGTATTTTATGCATGCACAATCTTTTCATTAAACCAAAAAATTAGCTTGAGCAAAATCTGTATGGAAAGAAACCACAGGGAAAATGTATGTAATTGAGTTCCTTACCTCTCCAACATTAAATATAAATCTTTGCTTGTCAAAGAATAGCAACACTGAAGGAGATGTATCTTGCGTATCCATTCCAGTCCCTAGCAGCTGCAAAAAGTAGAAGCATGCACAAATTATTAGCCCATGAAAAGGAAAAAAAACAATATAACCAAACTCTGCATTCTGAAATTAGGATATACAAACTTTTTTAGTTTTCAATAAGTCTCCATTCAATGCAAAAATCAACAAAAATCCGCTTGGTAAATCAAACCCACAAACAAAAAAACCTATGAATTTTAACTTTTCTGAATTCTTTCTCGTCATCTCTAATGTCCACAAACAGAATTCCAATTTAGAAGTCAGATTTTCAAATCCCACATATTTCCTAAACCAATCTTCTTCAAGTCAACTATGCTAAAACATTGCAATCAGTTCCTAGAATCACACTCCCAAATTTTCTTTCCCCTACCAAAACAAAAATTATCAAATTCAAATCCCCAGTCCCATAAACCAGTATAAGAACGAATTTGAATTAAAACCCTGTAGTAAAAGAACGAACATGTCTTTAAACATAACTACCCAAATAGCAGCATATCCTGCTTACCAAAACAGAGCTATCCTAAACCCTGTAACAAAAGAACCAGCATATCCAAATACCGATTTTGAGGGTTTACCAACTAATTTTTAATAATCAAACAGAAAACCTTACCAAAAGCAATCATATAGTATTTTAATAACTAAATTGTTTCACCTGGTTTCATCAAAATAATAACACAATCAAATCAATTTCAGTATTTGGATAACATTTGCAAATCAATAACACAGATCCACTATGAGGAAAAATTAGGAATTTGGACTTTTAGGGCAGCAAATTAAAACAGGTCTTATAGTTTAATAAAATAAGATCCAAGATATTAGTAACAAAAAAAAAATGAAAAAGAAGAGCAACAAAAATTGAATGGAAAGATGAAGCAAAATTTACTTACAGATCAGTGAGAGAGAGAGACCGAAACATAGAAAAAGCTGGAGTTCAATCTTAAGAAGAAGACCAACGCTCGCCACTCCTATAAAGTCAAAGCCTCCAGATAACAATTGATAACAAACTTAGAACAATTGTGATAATTTATAATTAAATAGGTATGAGAGAATTAAGCCAAAACACTCAACCTTTAATAGCCTCAAATCAATGGGTGTTTATTCTATTGCTACAAATTTGGAAACTGGTAGGTGTTAGTGCAAACAAATGGGAAAATTTAGTGAAGACAATGGCTATTATTACAGAATTAAGGCCACAAAATCAACTGCACAAACCACAATTTAAATACGCCACATTCTACGAATGTGGTGGACAAAAGTATAATGTCATTGCCACAAATATTTAAATACCTATAACAGAATGAATCCAAAAGACCCAGCCTTTAATAGAATCAAACCAAATACCCATAACAGAATCAAACCATGTGCAAGTTTGTTGTACAAAAGAATAGATTATCTCTAGACACCTATGGTCAAAACTGATACATGTATTCCCATTTATAGGCTATGTTAATTTAATGGAGAAGCTATAAAACCAGAAATAACCTATAAACACCTATAGGTTATAGAACCCTAATCAACTTACTGATAGCATCAAGGGAAGCCAAGAGGACCTGTCCGGGAACTATGGCAAAGAATGCATTCCCTACTTGGGATTTAACCAAACGTCCCATCACTGATCAAATCGTAATACCAACCCCATCAAGCATAGATTTGCCAAGCTTTGATGCCATTTTTGACAACTACTATCACTGAATTAGCAAAATAAAGTAGAAAGAACTGATAAGAAAAAATAAATTTAATGTGTTAAACTTATAACCATAAAAACTTAAAAAGAAATTCATATAGTCCTCAGGGGAACCTTTCAAATTGATTCAGTATGAAATCTAACATTAAAAAATCATAAAATAAACCTAACCTCCAACATAAAATACCCATTTCATATGAGATTTCCTTCCCTGTTTCTGCTTCATGTCACCTATATACCAAAGAAAAGATATCAAGAGAAATATCATTTTAAGGTATAAAAATAAACCATAACTATGAAGGAAGAAACACATTCATTGTCCACATCTCAATTCATTATAAGGTATAAAAATAAACCACAACTAATCCTAAAATTAAGGATTTAAAGTAACAAATTTACAATAAAGATTTTTTTTAAAAAAAGTTCAAACTTAAAATGGAACCAAGTGAAAGAAGAGAAAACTACCAAAGGCTATGGAGCATAAAGCATTTAAGTTTTTGAGAAGAATGTGCAGAGAAATCGGGTGTAAAAGAAGGTGTGGATATGCTGATAGGTTTTCATAATATTCCAGAGGATGCCTATGACGCAACCTCCTTCACATCTGCCACCAAAGCCAAACATCAAATACAAAATACGATTCAAATTATCGAAACAAAATTAGAAAAAAGCGAAATAAATGTGATAAAAGAGTGACGCTTTGGGGTCAAAGGTGGAGCCCTTTGGCAACAAATTGGATTTTGCCAGGAGGAGAGTTGAGAAGGAACCACTTCCCCACCCCAAAAAAACATTGACTACATTAGACACTAACAAATAATCAAAATGGGTACAAATTTATTAATTGGAAAAAAATAAAGTATAAACGGCAAAGAGAACAAACCTCATTAATGGCAAGCACTTGGCCATTGCTCTTCTTGACCTTCTTCAGCTTCCTCATGAAATACCTAATCCAAACAAATCAATCAACAATACTGAGTTTAACCAAAAATTCATCAATGAACATTTGGGAAGGCTAAGGATTATTCCAGAACTTGGACTTGGCGTGAACCTCATTTGTGGCCCAGAGCTTCATTTGGTAAATCTTGGGGTGCTCATTAGATGCCATAGGGAGCTTTCTCCCAACAACCTGGTACTGGTGGAACTGCAACACAAAAAAGACACCATTAATTGCAGCTTTACCATTTGACATGCCCTAAGAGAAATATATCACACAAAAACAAATACCAAATTAAATGGAACCTAAGAAACTGTGAAGATAATTTCTAGATATTTGTTCACCAAATTTCATACAACAATCCTCCACTTAAACTGACTGTTCACAACAATACTAAGAATTTGTAGGCATATTACATATGCAATATTTGGCTAATCCATTTCACCAGCAACCATATATTTAACTAAATAAACTATGTCGAAAACCAAATGGGTATTCTTCCAGAATAAAACCAACCTTCTTGAAGCATACCCATCTAAGTTATAAGAACCCCTTAGCATCCCAATACCCTAACATGGAAAAAAGAAGCATAATTTAGAATTCTGTAACAGAAATTGTCTCATTAAATTAAACAGAAATAAAAAACAGCGAATTTAAGGCTGAGATGTAATCGACTTATTGAAAGAAAAAAAATTGAGGGTGAGAGAACGATTGACAAACCTCTTTGCTAGTCCAAATGCGGAACCCTACTTCGTTTTTTCTTGCAACACCTTCAAAGTCAGTCAACATTCTGTGCTGTTCTACAAAAGATATTTACGAACACAGAACGTCATAAAATACCTTTATTGTAAATTTGTTCAACACAAAAAATCCAGAACCAAAATATTTGACGAAATTCTATTAAAAGAAAAATAACTGAAATTAAAGAGAGGGAGAGAGAACATTGTATCCCTCAACTTCTGTACATATACACTGGCTCTGTCCCACAACATCAGCAAGGGCAATGGCAAGCCTTTATTCACGCACAAACAGTCACCTGCCATTACCAATTCAAAAGCCTGTTCAATCCCATCACAGGGGAGAAATACAATCAAAATTAATAAAAGGGAAAGAAATTGAAATACAGTGGAGGCGATTAAAAGATGCAAACCTTGTTTCTATTTCAAAGTCCACGAATAGATGTAAGTGCACCATTTTGTTGTAGTCCTGCAATGCACAGAGTCATCAGCTTCACCCAAGCAACTCCGCATGCCAATTCAAATCTACCATGAACCAATCCATAAGCCCAAACATAGAACCCAATTATATGATAAACCATCACACAAAAGGCTTAATTTTGGTCCAAAAGGGCAATTCGAGGATATGGTTCTTACTTGAAATGCTTTGTTGAGGTTGCAAAATCACCTTTTTCCTCATGCTCAAACCATTCAATAACCAAAAAACAATGAAAGGAAATTTTCATTGTAATGCTAAGCACATGTATGAAAGAACAAAGGCACCAACTTTTCAATCCAACATAATTATAGAACAAAGACTCAAACTTTTTCCTTTATGTCCTTGAGTTTCCACAGAAACCCAAGTGATTTCAATAAAAAGTACTAATGTTATTAAGTAGGTGACCTCAAATGCTCTTATAAGCATAATTATTGAACTCCTACCCACAAAACAACAGTAAAATGTTTTAAAAGATGACATTTTCTGTTTTTTTTCTTGCATTTTCTAAGCAAACAAACAGAGAGTAAGTAGGTTTCTACATATTTTATACAGTGTAAAATCAGATTTTTTGTTTGAATGATCTTATATTGAACCAACCATCTCTACCTTCCAGCTAAGAGACTGGTCGATTAGTTCAGAATATCAGCTCCTAATCATATTTTCTTTTAGATGCAAACAGATATTAAGCTCCTAGGGTTCATTATCCACATGCTCAAATAGAGAGAGACAGAGAGATCTTGACTGCTTAATAATTTTTTGGGCAAGAATCAAAGGATTGAACAGCACGCTCAGAAACCCATCAGCAAGCCATTAATCCGTTAAAAAGTAAAGGGATGCAAACCTGAAGAGAAAAGATGGAAGAACTTGCAGATCGAAAATCTCTCAGACGAACGTTGCACAGAGGATGAAAGATGGTTGAACCAACGAATGAGCAGATGAGATGAGATGAAGACCAAACGAACGGCGAGATTCGCAAGGCGCTAGCCCAAATGGAAATCTACGGCCCCAAAGGAATCCCGAAGATCGAAGCCGTGCATTCCATGGCTGCCCCCAACCAGCCCAACCAAGCTGGTTCGAAGCGGACGATCGTTCTGTGGAAACGAAACAGTGGGGAGAGTTAGCATCCAAAGAGAGAAGGGCAAAAAAGGAACATAAGGAAAATTTCAGTAAAGGGCAAAATCGGCACTTCACTATTCCTAAGCTACAGTCTAGGAACAGTGAATTCCTGAACTCAGTTTTAGTATATATATAATTTCTTTCTATACAAATGCAATGGTGTTGTCTTGCTCATCACCACATAATCCCAAAAATCTGAAAAAGACTAACAAAGTTACAAGGATGGAACAAATATGAATTGAGGCAGCCAAGGGAAAGCCGAAACTCTCACACTTTGATTAAAAACTTGGATTAAATTAACATGAGTTGATAATACAAGACTAATCTATAGCCTAGCTACTACTCATTTGGAGGTGGGAGCTGATGAATTGGGCGGGCTCCCTTCGGAGGAGGTGGTGGACTTGGTAAATGGCTCAGTTTCCTCAACCTGGCATCTGTAAAAAGCACACGCTATAAGAATTCTATAGTGAGGGCCTTATACATAACATGTCAAGAAGCCCCACACATGAGAAAGACTTTTCATGCAACCGGGATATACTCTTTCGCTATACCTGTTGCAACCAAGGTTTTTCTCCACACATATATATTGTTAATTGATCATAATGTTCAAGCTCAATAGAGGGGTCTCCATGGAAATTACCTGCACCAACTTGAGCGGTCTGCACGGCAAAGGCGATCAACGCAATTAACCCAAGAAGAAACAGAGTTTTGAACAAGGAAGAAACCATCTTCATTAATTTAGATAAACTTTGCAATAATGATAGAGTGAACGGATGTCTTGTCTTGAGATCATCTATATAGTATAGTGTCATGACAAACACCTAGAAAAAAACCTCTTTCGTTTTTTATTTTATTTTGAATCTTAGTCAACAAGAGGAATTATTATTAAAATTGAATCTTATATTCAACATCTTCTTCCCCAAGAAAATAATAAAATAGAAACTATTCATATGTCATAAAGTTTGAAGTCAAACCATACTCTAAATATGGATAAGTATTAGGCGACTGAATGAAACTTCATAGATCATTCATTATAATATAATTGTTTACCATCATTTAACAATGCAAGGCCAAACTCATTCCTTTCTCTTTTTTTCTTTTTAAGAAATCAAGCATATGAACCCATCTAATGCCATCATTTGCACTCACTCTGCTTCTTTCAAAGAAGTTCATCACATTCTTCCACAGATTTAAAAACCTTAAGCTTGAAGTCATCAAAACCTTGTATTTGTTCTTTCTTTTTTTCGCCATCACTCTTTTTCCGCTTTCAGCATTGGCAGGTGACCCTCCACAGGCCAAACAGGACTCTTTTTTTTCTTCAGAGAAGTTATATACAATGCTACTTTTCCCAGGAGACTCTGTGTATAACAAGACCATCTGACTTAATGTATCAATACAAAATCATGGATGATATTTGTGTATACAAGTCACACCAGAAGTGGGAAAATTTATATTAACTGTATTATTAAGCTGCTTCAGCAAGTTCTTGCAATTGTGATAGCATGCTCATGGTCAACAGCTGAAACTATTTCTGGAGATACTTGACCAGTAGATGGTGTTGCTTGCTCTGCAAAGTCTGCGTGGTTCGAAATATAGCTGCGTGGACTTTCTGGCCAGTTGTTGTTTGGTGAAGCAGCAGCACTAACTTCATCACCAGCACCAGTGATGCCATCTCTCTGTTGAGGGCTCTTAAACATACGAGAGCTGAGTTCTTTCTCATTGAACATCTTGAACATGGCTCGAATCCCTCTCCATCCAGAGGCTCTTGAATCATCAGGGCGCATCAAGATGTGCCTATGCTTGTGAAGGAAGGAAGCTACGCATATGATGAGAGCTAGTATCGAAGCCACCACGGCAATGAGGAAGAGGCCCCGAAAGCTAGCAAGGTCAAGACTGTAGCTAGCCACCTTTGGGTTTGAGTTATCTACACAATTCTTTTCTACACTAAACCATTTGTTTTCAATGTTCATTATCACCTCTCCTTCGGTCACGTTTAGGACTGCCCGTGAAAGATCGGTTATAAGAGGAGAACGCTTTGGAAAGGCCTGCAGGAAGTCACCTCAGAGAATTACTACATCAAAGAATTCAAGCATGCAACTATGAGAAATACATTAGCCAATTACTGTGTGTACTAGGAAAGAGATCTTACAAAACCAAATCCAGCAGCTTTAAAGATGGGTCCGATCATGGTATATTTGGTACAATATTTTGCGAGAAAAAGCTTCATGCTGGGGGTTTCATCAACAGCAGCAGAAATACCACCATTTGCACTTCCTTTTGAAAGAAGTTCATCACACTCTTCAAAAGATTGAAACATCTTTATCTTGGAATCATCAAAACCTACTTGTTTCAAGAGTCTGTAGATGTAAGTATTCTCTGCGTAGCCCACGTTATCCCCGTTTCTTAGAACATCCTTTATATCTGAAACACTAGGCTGGAGTTGCTGGACAGTTAATAGTGACGCTAGACCAGCCGTGTAACTTTGAGTCAGTATTAGCATCACAAATACCCATATGACCATCACAAATCTGGCCAAGTTACTAACCACTCTCTCCCCTGTAAAGTGCAGATTCGAGAAGTACAGAAAAGAAAATTGTTAAAGTTAGTATCAATATGAGTTATTGAACAACTTTAATTTGATACTTGAAAGTTTTTCTTTTATATATGAAAGACATGATGGAGAATTACTATGTGAAAAAACCATGGTTGAGAAAGAGAACCAGACACTGGTGCCAACTTGATGTGATGGAGTGCCACGGAAGTCTTCATTGATTCGATGCTCCAGAACCCAAACCACAAAACCAATAAAGAAGAAGAAACAACAAGTTGTTAGCCAAAGGTCCCATGTCAAAGGCTTCAAGAAAACCCATGCATTTTGGTTTCTCATGTCTATGACTGGCACAACCATTACTACACCAGATTCTGTGTATGGCATGGTAAAGTCTGCATACAATGACCTATTTCCTCTAATTGTTGTATCTCCCACCACACCATCAAAGTTCTGCAGTAAATTAATTTAACATACATGTTAATCATTTTCAGCATTCAAATTAAGAAATTGAATCAAAAGTTAAATCAGAAAATGACATATGTGGATGAAGTGAGTAATGAAAAACAAAGAATTTTACCCCAAGATATATTTGGTAGACCAAATCATTGTAAGTGCCAGCACTGGTTCCATCAGACTTTGCAAAGGGAATGAACTCATAAGGTAGAGCATACGGTAACATTTCCACTGCAGCCTTAAAAACATCTATACTGAACCCAGTCACATCTGTCATGTTAGTGCTAGGATCCTTCGTTACCTTAACCAACTCCGTAAAGCCATCCTTCACAGGAACTCCTATTCTCAATTTCTTGCCGCTTGTTGGGTTCTCCCATCCCTTGGGAACAGAGAGAGAATCTCCTGGCCATATAATGGGTCCAAGTCCAAGTTTGCGCTTAGGAGTTGAAAATATGCTTGAGTTTGCTGATGAGCCCAATTTTTTCACCAGTCCATTCTGTGGTGTCCAAAATCCAATTCCTCTTGCTCCACCACCATTTATATTAACTATCTTAAAATTTGTTGATTGAAGTTGTCCATCAACAAGGCCGAAATCTCCAGCGATCCCTTCAAATCTAGTAGTTGACAAGGCTTGGCAAAGTTCTGGACCATATTTAGAGACCTCAAAACTTTCAAGAACTGCTGAGTTGAAGGAAGCATTTGTCTTTTGGAAGCCAAAGGTTGCAGTTCCAACTTCTTCAATTGCCATGGCTAATGCAAAAGCAGAATCATAAGCCCAAAGTCCAAAAACATCCAATGAGGCATCAATGATGGTTGGATTGTCTTGTTGGAATTGTCGTTTCCACCGTGGCATGAATTCTTCAAGCTTTGCTGTTTGTGGAACATAAGTTTGTATACCCAATACACCTTGCATGGAACTGATGATAGAAGAATTTAGATACCTTAATTCATTAGGTATACCATTAGTAGTGAGCCAAACATAGCCTTCGGTCATCATTCCAATCTCTCTGGCCTTTGCAAATAACCTAGATGATAGATCCGTCCTCATGTGGACAATGAAGACTCTAGTTTGCATTGTCATTAACTTGTAAAGCTCTTCAAGAATTTGGCCATCAGTGGCTGACGGGGAAATGGCACTCCGGTAGGGGACACGGGCATCAACCTCTTCCAGGGCATCAGTTAAAAATTGTATGACTCCCTCCCCAAACTCATTATCTATGTAGACAGGCACAACTTGCCTCCATCCAAAAGCTTTTACAATAGCACTTAAGGCTTTCACTTGGGATGAGTCATTCTGTGCAAATTGAAAGAAGTAGGAGCTCCGAAGTGAATTAAGAGAAGGGCTTGTTGCAGAAAATGATATGATGGGCACATGAACTTGGTCTCCAAGGTTAATAAGAAAGCCTGCTTGCGTAGATGTCACTGGTCCTAGGATTGCTTGCACTTCTGCATTCTTTATTAGATCTACAGCTGCGCTCAGTGAAAAAGAGATGATTATATTTAAAATTAGCTTGGACTGCAAAATACATACATAAAACTTAGGCTCCACCTCAAGAGGAAGATTTGTGAGAGTTATTGAAATCACATTAAAGAGAAACGGTCGAAAATGCAAAAGATTGGCATTCTTTACAAGAGCAGATGCTTGCAAAAGGAGAGAGAATTACCTGCCTTAGCTGCACCCACAACATTTTGTTTGGAGTCCCTGGTGTTCAAAACCAGCCTAGTTTTGTAGTTAGCATGAGAAGCATAGAAGTCTGAGAGGGCCATTTTGATGCAACTCAACCAAATCTTCCCATTCCTTGAATTAAGGTCATCAAGAACAACCCCTACATTTACTGGGATGGTTTTGTTTTGTGCCATGGCCAAGGACATCCATGAACAAAGAAAGAAGAAAAAGATAGACAGAAGAAGCTCAAGGTTGGGAGGGTTTTTCTTGACCATGTTTGAAAATTTTGAAGGCTGCGTAATTTGGTAATCCAGTATTCCTCCTAATTGTCCAAACAAACTTACTCTTATGTACATGGAGATGATGGTGATGGTCGAAGGCCTTGAAAGTCATAGCTAAACAATCCATCAAATACGCTACTTGGTTTCAATCATGAATGCAGTCATAATTACCAAAAGGACGTAGTGTGCCCTATTGTCTTTCCCTCTAGATACTTTCCCAAGCATTTCATTTATGTATAGCAATGATCCTTTGACTAGTTAAACCACGGAAACCACGGTGCTCCAGGTCTAGTTCCTAGTCCATCTCAAACTCACATTCAGTAGGAAGATGGTCCTTGAACCACACTTCCATCCAAAAAGATTTCATTCAAAGCTCTTGGTTGTACCATGGAATCTCTTTATAAAACACACAATGCAAGTCGGCACACGTTCAGGTCTTGGTATGACGAAAACAAAACTTAATGAAAGTTGAAGACTTTTTAGCAACAAATTTTTTTATATGTACCTACAGCAGCCTACGGTTCTAAGAATAATTCAAAGTACAAAGTCAACGAAATTTGTAGTTGTGCCTACAGCAGCCTACAGTTAGCAATTCAAGGTGAGTTAATACGACCAATTTGGACTTGACCAAAAAAGCAAAAATCAGTCCAATTTTGAAATGACGCAAAAATCAACATGGAAATATACTTTTAAAAATAAATAAATAAATAAAGGTGTTCCTCGTTTGTGGGTTTAGGCTGGTCATGTGCAGTCAATGCAAGGGTAAATGGGTCATTTTGCATCATCAATCCTTCGGCTAATCACCCACCCATCCCGCCATATGAAATCAATTTAGGGATTTATCACTATCAGGAAAATTAGGAATTTGGTGTTCAGAGTTTTAGGGCAGCAGATTAGAAGAGGTCTTACAGTCTAGTGAGATGAGATCCAAGATATTGGTGACAGCAGTGGGAAAAGGCCCAAACTTGAGACTGAATAAAACCTCTCTGCAAATTCGCAAATAAAGAACCAATTTTTATTATCGAAAATTTAAATACTCTCGGCAATGAAATCGAATCGAATGGAAGGACGAAGAAAAAATGGCTTACAGCTCAGTGACGACTCGGTCAATGCAAAACGCAGAGCGCCATTTTCATAGCTTGAGCGACTCCTTCTTCAGGCTACACTAAACGCGCGGAAAGGGAACGCTGCGTTTTGGTCCGTTGGTGACCGTTGGGTCACGCCAAATTCAAATGACGCAAACACGTCTCGCGACTATTCTATATGCTTATCTAGCACGACAGTGATTAAATGGTAGACAAGGCAACCAATAATAATAATGACAACATTTATGTTGGATCGTTGACAAAGACTCGATCCATCAATTTTTGATAACCATAAAGATAGAGGGGTGAGTGGTGGGAAAAATTATTTTGTATGGGTATGACCGTCTGTATTACGTTATTAATTCACGTATTATAATATAGAAGACGAGTTAATATTTAAGTAGAATATTAATAAATAAACACCTGTTATAATATTTGTGTATTGGAATACCAGGTGACATGACAATGTAAATATATTATCCAAAATCAAAGCTATCTATTTCTCAGTTCCCACTACTACAACAGAAGATAATGCTTGAATACATGATAGATGGTTAAGAACTAAAGAGCTAGTTTAAGCCAAACTCTTCCTCTCTTTTTTCCTATTAATTGTTATCTTGAGCTGTTGCAGAAGTTCTACTCATTTCTGCAATAATGATAGCAGGATCAGTAGTACTTGGAACTATTTCTGGAGATGCTTGACCAGGAGATTGTGTTTGTTGCCCTCCAAAGAATTCAAAATTTGCATCTGTGTGGTTGGAACTAAAGCTGGATGTACTTTCTGGCCAGTTGTTATTTGGTGAATTAGCATCACCTGCAATATTATCTGGATTACCAGCAATAACATCTCTCTGTTGACTGCTCTTAAACATACGAGAGTTGAAGTCTCTTTCATTGAAAATTTCGAACATGGATCGAATCTTTCTCCATGTTAAGGCTTTTGAATCCTGTGGGTGTTTCAAGATGTGCTTGTGCCTGTAGAGGAATGAAGCTACAAATATGATGAGAGAAAGTATTGAAGCCACCCCAGAAATGAGGAATAGCCCCCAAAAGCTATCAAGGCCAAGACTGTTGTTGGAAAGCTCTTGGGTGGGGTTATCTTCACAATTGTCCCCTTTCTTGAACCATTTGTTTTCAATGTTCAGGATCACCTCTCCTTCGGTCACGTTTAGCACCGCCTGTGAAACATCCGACAGAAGAGGGGAACGTTTTGGAAACACCTACAAAGTCATGACCTCGATCAGCAAGTTAACAAAGAAATCTTGTAGGATATGTAAATTTTCTTGCATGAACATGTAAGAGGAGAGAGATCTCACAAAGGCAAACCCAGCAGTTTCAAAGATAGGCCCTATCATAGTATACTTGGAACAAAACTTCGCAACAAAAAGCTTCATGTTGGGGGTTTCATCAACAACAGCAGCAATACCACCATTTGCACTTCCTTTTGAAAGAGCTTCATCAATTTCTTCCATTGTTTTGAAACCCTTAAGCTTGGTATCATCAAAACCAACTTGTTTCAAGATATCGTAAACATAAGCATCTGTTAAGTAGCCGACGTTTCCCCCCTTTCTCAATAGATCCTTTATATCTGTAACAGTTGGCTGAAGTTGTTGAACAGTTAACAGTGATGTCAGACTGGCTGTGTAACTTTGTGTCAATATTAGAACAACAAATACCCATATAATCATCACAAATCTAGCCAAGTTGCTAACCACTCTTTCTCCTGTACAAACAAGGATATTGTTAATTAACAATTTATAGTGCAGGTTATCTATGAAATATTGATTTGAAATGAGAGAAGGGTCATGGAGAATTACTTTGTGCAAAAACCATGGTCGAGAAGGAGAACCAGATGCTGGTGCCAACTTGGTGTGAGGGAGTGCCACGAAAGTCTTCATTAATCCGATGTTCAAGAACCCACATCACAAAACCAATAAGGACGAAGACACAAGAAGTAGTCAGCCAAAGCTCCCATGTCAAAGGCTTCAAGAAAACCCAAGCATTTTTGCTCCTGACGTCTATGACTGGCACAGCCATTGCTACATCGCATTCCGTGTATGGCATTGTGAAGTCTACATACAAGGACCTATCTGCTCTAATTGTTGTATCTCCCACCACAGCATCATAGTTCTGCAGTCAAGTAAAGATATTTGTCAAAATCTCGACAAAGAAATTGAATGGTTTCTTTCTTTTCAATGGGAAGTTGAATCAGAAAACTCACATTCAAATTTAACAATATAAAAGATAAGGAAATTTACCCCAAGATATACTTGATAGCACAAATCACTATAAGTGCCAGCGCTTGTACCATCAGGCTTTGCAAAGGGAATGAACTCATAAGGAAGAGGGTATGGCAAAACTTCCACTGCAGCCTTAAAGACATCTATAGTGAAGCCAGTGACGTCAATTGCGTTAGTGCTTGGATCCTTCGTGATCTTAACAAACTCTGTAAAACCAACCTTGACAGGAACTCCTATTCTCAACTTCTTGCCGTTTGCTGGGATCTGCCATCCCTTTGGAGCAGTGAGAGAATCTCCTGGCCACATAATAGGTGCAAGATTGCCCTTGTTGGAAGTTGAAGAAAAGCTTGTGTTTGTTGAATTCAATTTGTTCATCAGTCCATTTTCTGGTGTCCAAAATCCAACCAGTCTTGTTCCACCACCATTGACATTAACTATCTGAAAAGTTGATGACTGAAGTTGCCCATCAACAAGACCGAAATCTCCAGCAATGCCTTTAAATCTCATACTAGATAAGGCATGGGAAAGTTTTCGACTGTATTGAGACACCTCAAAGCTCGCAGTCCCAGCTTCTTCAACTGCCATAGCCAGTGCAAAAGCAGAATCATAAGCCCAAAGTCCAAAAACATGCAATTGAGCATCGATTATGGTTGGATTGTCTTGTTGGAATTGTCGTTTCCACCGTGACATGAATTCTTCAAGCTTTGTTGTTTGTGGAACATAAGTTTGTATGCCCAATACACCTTGCATGGAACTGATGACTGAAGAATTTAGAGACCTTAATTCATTAGGTATCCCATTAGTAGTGAGCCAAACATAGCCTTCGGTCATCATTCCAATCTCTCTAGCCTTTGCAAATAACCTAGAGGATAGATCCGTCCTCATGTGGACAATGAAGACTCTAGTTTGCATTTCCATTAACTTGTAAAGCTCTTCAATAATTTGCCTGTCAGTGGCTGACAGGGAAATGGCACTCCGATAGGGGACACGGGCATCAACCTCTTCCAGGGCATCAGTTAGAAAGGGTATGACACCCTCCCCAAACTCATTGTCAACGTAGACAGGCACAACTTGTGTCCATCCAAAAGCTTTTACAATAGAACTTAAGGCTTTCACTTGGGATGAGTCATTTTGTGCAAATTGAAAAAAGTAGGAGCTATGGACTGCATTAAGAGAAGGGCTTGTTGCGGAAAATGATATAATGGGCACATGAACTTGGTCTCCAAGGTTAATAAGAAAGCCTGCTTGCATTGAAGTCCCTGGTCCTAGGATTGCTTTCACTTTCACTTTCTCTATTAGATCTACAGCTGTGCTCAATGAAAAACAAAAGAACAATAACTATTTATTAAGAAAGAAAGAAAAAAAACAAGAAAAAAAAAAACAAGAAACTGTTGAAGAAAGAAGGTCTATCATTTGCTTAAGTGCAAAGTCTAGGGTTACCTGCGGCAGCTGCATCTACAACACTTTTGTTGGAGTCCCTAGAATTCAAGACCAGCCTAGTTTTGTAGTTAGCATGAGAAGCATAGAAATCTGAGAGGGCCATTTTGATGCAGCTCAACCAAATCTTCCCATCCCCTGAATCAAGGTCATCAAGAACAAGCCCAACATTCACTGGGATGGTTCTGTTTTGTGCCAAGGCCAAGGAAATCCATGAACAAAGAAAAAAGAAAAAGATAGAAAGAACAAGCTTAAGGTTCAAAGGCCTTTTCTTGATCATATTTGAAGCTTTTGAACCCTGCTTAATCTGATTGATTCTGTCCAACTAAGTGTCCAAACAAACTTATATATATGCAGATCGATCATGACAGCCGAAGAATTCGAAAGTCCTAGCTAAACAACCCATCAGATACGCTACTTGGTTCAATCAACATCAATGGTATTATAATTATAGAAAAATAAATGATCTATCTTATTGTCTTTTTATTTTTCATGTAAATGGAGTGAAAAAATAAATAGAACTTGTAGTTGGCTGTAGTCTTCTAGAAGCATTTCATCTCCTCTACTAGTCTGATTTAGAAGACTAGCGGGTTCTGGTCTTCTTCTTAGCACAAGTTCAAAGTCTTTGATGAAATTGAAGGGAAAACTATCGGCAAATAGTGCCTGCAGTTAGACATTCAAAGCAAATTCATTTTGACCAAAATTTATTTGATATAAAAATAAAGTGAGACAAGGTGTTCCTTGTCTTTTGGGTTGTGTTGAGAAACGTCACTCCGTAAGTCTTTGCATTAATATTTGACCCAGGAAAGTCGTATATTAATAATTCTGCTGAGAACTGACCAACAAGTTTTTAAGTGTTGCCCTACTTAAGAAGAAATGCAGAGACAGCCATGGCCCCATCAATGAAAGCAAATAAACTCACGATGCTGAATTTACACAAGAATAGCTGGCCAGCTCTTCTTTGAAAACTTTTGATTCGTTTTTAACTCTCAGTAAATCCAGGGAACAGGGGTAAAGTTGGCATTTATGGAATTCTTTATGAGTGCTGGGTTAATTATGGATTTACAGATTCAAGTTGCTCTGTTTCTGGTCCTCTGTTTCTGATTTTCATAATAACTTGACACACTAAAAATGTTAAACCTTATATACAAGATTATTTCTAGGCCCTTTTCTCTTTCTCCGATCATCTTAATTGTTTTCTTGAGATATTACAGCACTTCTATGCATTTCTTGGATAGCGACGGGCAAGCTCAGTTGTTGGAACTACAACTGGAGACGCATGGCTAGTAGTAGATGGTGTTTCTTGCCCATCAAGGAATACAAAGTCCTTATCTGTGTGGTTCGAATAGCTGAATGGACTTTCACGCCAATTGCTGTTAGGTGAGGTTTTCACTTCAACTTGATCACCAGCACTGCCATTTCGTTGTGGACTGCTTTTGAAAGCATGGGAGTTGAGGTCTTTTTCGTTGAAAATTTCGAACATGGCTCGAACCCCAGCATGCTTCAAGATATGCCTCTGCTTGTAAAGGAAGGAAGCTACAAAGATAATGAGAGCTAGAATTGAAGCCACCCCAGCAATGAGGAATAGGCCCCAAAAGCTTTCAAGCCCAAGAATGTTGCTTGAAACCTTTGGACCAGAGTTATCTTGACAATTGCCTTCTTGACTGAACAACTTGTTTTCGATGTTCATGGTCTTCTCTCTTTCGGTCACATTTAGGATTGCCTGTGAAATATCTGGTACAAGAGGGGAACGTTTTGGAAACACCTGCAAAATCGTACCAAAGAAGTCATATGAGAAAAAATGAACCCACATTTGCTTGCATGTGTTATCTGTCTGTAAGTGTATAAAAGGAGAGAAATATCTTACAAAGGCAAACCCATCAGTTTTGAAGATTGGACCAATCATGGTATATTTGGAACAATATTTTGCAAGAAAAAGCTTTATGTTGGGGGTTTCATTAACAAAAGCAGTAATACCACCCTTTTCACTCCCTTTGGAAAGAGCTTGGTCACAGTCTTCCATGGAAGTCATAGCCTTAAGCTTGGACTCATCAAAACCAATTTGTTTCAAGAGTTCATGAACAAAAGAATTCTTCATGTAGCCGACACTATCCCCACTCCTTATAAGATCCTTTATATCGGTGACAGTTGGCCGGAGTCGTTCAGCTGTTAATAGTGATGCTAGATTAGCTGTGTAACTTTGTGACAGTACTAGCACAACAAATACCCATATTATCATCAAGAATCTGCCCAAGTTGCTAACCACTCTCTCCTCTGTAAAATTGAATTCAAAAAGTGAGCAAAAAGTAAATGTCAATAGGCGCATAGGCTGAGGGAAGGAAAACGAAGCTGTTAAGAATTCTTAATTTGATAGAGATGATGCATATACTTACTATGTGAAAACACCATGGTTGAGAAAGAGAACCAGAAACTTGTGCCAACTTGATGTGAGGGAGGGCCACGGAAATCTTCATTAATTCGATGTTCAAGCACCCAAATGACGAAACCAATGTAGACGAAGAAACAAAAAGTTGTAAGCCATAAGTCCCAAGTCAAAGGTTTCAAGAAAACCCATGCATTTTTGCTCCTGGTGTCTACGATTGGCACAACCATTACCACACCAGATTCTGTGTATGGCATTGTGAAGTCTACATACAAGGATCTATTTGCTGTAATTGTTATATCTCCCACCACAGCATCAAATTTCTGTCAAGCAAACATGTTAAATCAGAGGAAGGTACATGATGCAAGTCATTGGCATTTATATTAGAGACAAAGAATTTTACCTTAAGATATACTTGATAGACCAAATCATTGTAAGTTCCAGTGCTGGTTCCATCAGGCTTTGCGAAGGGAATGAAGTCAAAAGGAAGATCGTATGGTAATACTTCAAGTGCAGCCTTAAAGACATCGATACTAAACCCCGTGACGTCAGTTGTGTTAGTGCTATGATTCTTGGCTACCTTAACAAACTCAGTAAAAGCAACCTTCATAGGAACACCAATTTTCAACCTCTTGCCATTTGTTGGGATCTCCCATCCCTTAGGAACAGATTGCGAACCTCCAGGCCATATAATCGGTGTAAGATCACACTTCTCAGAAGTTGAAAGTATACTAATGTTTGTTGAATTCAATGTTTTCACCATGCCATTTTCCGGTGTCCAAAATGCAACTAAACTTCCTCCATTCCCATTTACATTAACTATCTTAAATGTTGATGGTTGAAGTTGCCCATCCTTAAGACTGAACTCTCCAGCTAGGCCTTTGAATGTAGTCTTAGATAAGGCCTGGACAAGCTTTGGACCATATTGTGAGGCCTTGAAAGTATCAAGATCTGTTGAGTTGAAGGAAGGATTCCTCTTTTGGAAATCAAAGCTTGCATTCCCAACTTGTTCAACTGCCAAGGCTAGTGCGAAAGCGGCATCATAAGCTCGAAGTCCAAACACGTCACAATCAAAGTCAATGATGGCTGGATTGTCTCGTTGGAATTGCCTCTTCCACTTCATTCTGAAGTTTGTAAGCTCCATTGTTATTGGAACCTCTGTTTCCACACCCAATACTCCTTGCATTGAATTTGGGGCAACCGAACGTATTGACCATAAGCGATTTCCTACCCCATTAGTCAAGATCCAAACATAGCCTTTGCTCATCATTCCAATCTCTTTTGCCTTAGCAAATAGACTGGAGGAGAGCTTGGGCGTCATGTGCACAATGAACACTCTTGTTGGCATAGCCATTAAATTGGAAAGCTCTTTACCAACTTGATCATCAGTGGCAGATGGAGGGATGACACTCCGATAGGGGACATGAGCATCAACGTCTTGCAAGGCATCAATTAAAAACGGTATGACTCCCTCTCCATACGTATTGTCGACGTATATCGGCACAACTTGTCTCCATCCAAAATGTTTAACAATGGCACTTATGGCTTTCACTTGGTATGAGTCAGTTTGTGTAAGTCGAAAAAAGTAGGAGCTTCGGAGAGACGTAAGAGAGGGGCTTGTTGCAGAAAATGATAAAATGGGGACATGAGCTTGGTCTCCAAGGTTAATAACGAAGCATGCCTGCATTGATGTCACTGGCCCTAGGATTGCTTGCACTTGTACATTCTTTATCAGATCCAGAGCTGTGTCCCATTGACAAAAAAGTGACAATTGTGAAGGATTAATTTGAAAATATTAGGAAATATTATGCTTATTATAACGGTTAAAACGTTATCAATGATAGTTAATTATGAACAGATAACATAGCAAACCATTATTGGCATGCGCTACAAAATTAGGGTTGACCATTGAAGAATTTTCAAAGTTCGATTGGGCCTCACACGGTTTGAAGGCGACCTTCTTACGAATCTGACCCCTTTTCTTTCTTTCTTATGACTTTTGGGACGTGTAATAAATGAACCTTACCTTTAGCTTGGCAAGCGACAAAGCTAACAGAATTACTCTGTTTTTTACTTCTCAAAGCCCAACTACATTCTGACCCAAAAAATAAAAGCCTATAGGGGTGGCACAAGTTGGGTTAGGTCGATTTTGATCTTAATTCGTAATCCAACCTGATATATAGTAGTTTATGATTTTTCAGACTTAAGACCCTCTCATTATTAGGCCAACCCAACTCTTTTGTGATCGGGTTAACTCAAAATTAAGTCCACTTTTTAAGGTTTGGTTCTAACATGTACATAGAGATTTATGATTTATTGAACCCAAAACCCTCTAATTATCGAGTTGGGTAGTTTGGTCGAGTTGACTCGAAATTGTGCCCACCCCTACTTGCATATAGAGTTGGACATCAATCCAGTTGAATCGACTACATCAACTAATTTGAACCATGGTGATCAGTTAGTTCAATTTTGACTAAACAAATCAAATAATTCAAAATCAAAATGGACCATAATTGTTCGATTCAGTTATGGTTTTGAGTTTTTGTAAATTAATCTAATCCAATTGGACTAACAAAGTTAAAAAATTGGAAAGAAAAAAGAATTAGACTTATGTGCAACCCTCCCAAAGCAAGCCAACCCAAACCGTCCAACCTTGGTTTAGGGTTCGTTTGGGAGTGATTCTGAGAGGGCCAAAATCACTTCCTATTTAGTATAATCGCTTTTGCTTAAAAAATATGGTGTTTGGCAAAAATTTAAAAGCGCTTAAAATATGTATTAAAATCACTTAAAGTGATTTTAGGGAGAAGCACATGGGAGGTGCTTCTCCCAGGAAGTGGTTTTTTTAAAAAAACCGGGAATCACTTGATTCCAATTAATGAAACTTTTTTAATACCAATACTATCCCTATTATTTTTACAATATGGCCAAAAAGCCTAACCCTACAATTTTTAAGCAATCCACACGTTTCATCCACCCTAGTTATCACGTCTTTGTCTCTGCCTCTATTCTTTCTCTGCAAAGGCTTCCCCCCTCTCTCGCTCAAACTCTGCAAGGCTATCATTCTTCAAGGTAAATCCTCTCTGTTCTCACTATATATGTTTATGCACTTCTATATTTATCTTGATATTTTTTATTTTAACTTTTCTCTTTTATCAGATAGTACTATGAAATTCTCATGCTTCTTGATTCACATATTATATCACTAATAGTTATTAGTAAAAATATTATCAGAATCAGAAATTGAATTTATGTGTGAGAGAGTGAGAGAGAGAGAGAGAGAGAGATGGGTAAAAGCTTGCGTATATGTCGATGCTATTATAAACACTTTCTTTTGCAATAACAGAAGGATATAGAAAGAGCTGTTTCCTATTGCAATTTGTTTAATTTGCAATCTGTTTCCTATTTGCAATCTGTTTGGAGCTCCCTTCCCCACATCATCAGACATAAGAATATGAAGATGAACGTGTAAGGCAATCTTCATTCCACATTGATGTCAATGCCATGTGGCTGTCTTTTAGAAATTAAGAGAGGGAGAGAGACACGTATAGACACATACCAGAACTATTGGTTTATGTATTAATGCTTAGTTTCAATTTGTTGTTCTGTCTGAGAACTTTTGGTTTATGTATTAATGCAAACGTGCTACTGTTTGTTTTTGTTTCTGTTTGATACTAGCTTCTGTTTGTTTTTGTTTTTTTTTCTTTTGTTTGTGCTTTGTCTTATATACTTGTATGTTGAGCAAAACTTCTTGTTATACTGTACAATCATCATTAATTTTTGTTCTTTGTCCAATTTGTTTATTAGAAAATGTCTAACAATATAGTGAACTCATCCCAAAATGAAAGTCGGGAAGAAAAAGAAAAACAAGAGAAAGCAAAATGGGATGACAAGGGAACTGAGGTTTTTATCAAGATTTGTGTTGCTGAGACGTTAGGTGGTAATCGACCAAGTAGTCATTTTAATAAGGTTGGATGGAAAAATGTTATAAAGAAGTTTAATGATATTACTAAAAGGAACTACGACTATAGACAATTGAAGAACAAATGGACTGGACTTAAGAAAGAATGGCAGTTATGGACAAGTTTGGTTGCAAAAGAGACTGGCTTAGGATGGGATCCTGTGAAGCAAACAATCAAAGCTACCGATGAATGGATGGGAGGGTGCTGCTCACGATGCACGTATATTTATGGAGGCCTTAAGAATACCGACACTGAAATTTCCACATCCACCTACTGGTTAGTAATCAAAATGTCATCAAGTTCAATATTTTCCTTTACTATTTCGCCTTGGATATGTTTCTTATATCAAATATGGCTAATAATACTAATATTGTTATTGATTCACATGTATAGGTAAATATTATCTGGTTGATGCTGGCTATCCACAAATGAAAGGATATTTAGGCCCTTATAGGGGTGAGCGATATCATCTTCCGGATTTCCGACGAGGAAGCCAACCAAGAGGGAAAAAAGAAATCTTCAATCACAGACATTCATCTCTAAGATGCACAATTGAAAGAACATTTGGTGTTTGGAAAAACCGATGGAGAATGGTACGTCAAATTCATAATTTTCCTTTGGAAAAACAAGTACAAGTCGTTATCGCTTCAATGGCTCTCCATAACTTCATAAGAATTCATTCAATGATGGATGTAGAGTTCCAACCATATGATGATGATGAAGAGTTACTTCCCCAAACAGATGATGGAATGACTAGTATGGAAGAGACTATTGTACAAGAAAATGTAACCCGTGCACGAGAGATGGATGACGAACGCGAGACAATTGCAAATCTTCTTATGTCTATTTGATATTTGTGTCGATTAACAATATATCTTCTCATCCCAAAAAATATTTATTCATGTTTTTTTTTCAAGAAGTATGATTTGAAGCTATAAATTTTCAATTTTCGTTTAAGAATGCCCAAGATATAATATTATGTGATTGGGGTTATCAATTTAAAAATGTTTGATTATAAAAATACCAAAAAAAGGCAACAAAAAAAAACTCTTTTTCTTTGGGAAGCCAAACGCTACGAATAACATCAAAATCACTTTTTTACAATATGAAAGCACTTCTATGTTGGTAGCCAAACGATGAACTGATTTTGCGCAAAAGTGCTACTAACATAAAGTGATTATGTTAAAATCACTAATGAGTAAAATCGCTTCTACATAATCACTCCCAAACGAGGTTCGGTTTCCTTAGTGATTTTGGTTAATGGGGACAAAAACACGGTACACCCTCCTTTTTGAACTTCCAAACAAATTCATACCACACTGGTATATGATATAATTCTCTTCCTGATTTTGGCATTAATTGGTTTTTAGACTGGAAAGAAATGATGGAGATGCATACAGGGTATATGATTCATTATTAGAACAGGAGATAAGTATACAAAATCTCAATTAGAACATATATATATAAATGCATGGTTTAGAGAGAGAACCTGCAGAAGCTGCACCAACAACAGTGTGTTCGGAGTTCCTGGTGTGCAAAACCAGCCTGGTCTTGAAGTGAGCATGAGATGCATAAAAGTCCTCGAGAGCCATTTTGATGCAACTCAAAAAAATCTTCCCACCCAGAAACTGTGCATCAAGATCAACAACAACGCCCACATTCACCGGGATCGTTGTGTTTTCAGCAGCCGCAGCCACAGCCATACTGAAACACCATGAGAAGAAGAGAAAGCACAAAAACATTGGGTTCTTTTTTATGGTCATCATATTATAATGTGAATATTTGATCACAAGGTCACTCGTATATATTCTGAAGCAAATGAAGGGTGACTGGTACTTAAATAGTTTTATGTGGATATCATGGCATCTAATCTTATATGCAGTAGGTGGATATGAAAAGTCCATTGAAAATAATTGGTCGGTCAGCGCTAGGACCCCAATCCATACGGACAAGACAAAATTAATCAAGCCTTTCCTTGCTTAATGTATAAGTTAGAATGAATTAACAAAACATCTATAAGACTATAATTATATATAGATATGGGAAACTAATATTTATTGACTTGCTGACACTCACTCTGTGGACAAGGATAATAGAGTCTGAGTCTGGGGTCTTTCTACGATTTTAATTGACCTATATATATATATATATATATATATATATTGTCTCTCCTAGTCATTCATGTTGTCTTTTTGTAGCAATTAATTCATGCATAAATAAATGGTAATTATGTATAATGGAATTTGACTTGACAGATGGAACAACTCTCCCATTTCATCTCTGTGTAGCTTGTGCTGCAATTGACCCATTAAACAACTAATTAGGTTTACATAACTAGAAAAGACCTACCAATTACCTTGTCATGTATAGTCAGGAGTATCGAAGATGCGTCGCAAATGATGCCAAAACCAAGTCTTCTAGACTTTAGATCCCACCACTTGATTCAAAGTTGTCTTGAGTTGAAGGATTTTAATACATGTCAATTTAACTATTGTTTTCTAGAGATTCTTGACAAACCGCAACAGGTGAGTGTGGAGCTGATCTATATATGGTTTGAATGTTCTGCTTGGAGGGCAGGTGAAATAAACTCACAATGCTGAATTCATACTGGAATCAATTAATTGATTTCTGTTTATATTAGTACCATTGTAATTTTTTTTTAATGCAAGATTACTTCTAAGCCAAACGATCTGTTACAGGAGTTGTATGCATTTCTTGAACAGTGGCAATATCAAGCTCAATTTTTGGAACTATCTCCGGAGACGCATGACTAGTAGTAGATGGGGTTTGTTGCCCTTCATACAATACAAAATCCTTGTCTGTGTGGTCCAAATAGCTGAATGGACTTTCAGGCCAGTTTCTATTTGGTGAGGCTTTCACTTCATCTCCAACACCACCAATTCCATCTCTTCGTTGACTGCTTTTAAAAGTATGGGAGCTGATGTCTTTGTCGTTGAAAATTTCAAACATGGCTCGAACCCGTCTCCATTTAGAAGCTCTTGAATCAGATTGCTTCAAGACATGCCTATGCTTGTACAGGAAGGAAGCTAAAAAGATAATGAGGGCTAGAATTGAAGCCATCCCAGCAATGAGGAAGAGGCCCCAAAAGCTTTCAAGTCCAAGACTATTGCTTGAGACCCTTGGAGTAGTGGACTTATCTTCACACTTGCTTTCTTGACTGAACCATTTGTTCTCAATGTTCATGATCTTCTCTCCTTCGGTCACATTTAGGACTGCCTGTGAAAGATCAGGTACGAGAGGGGAATGTTTCGGAAACACCTGCAAATTAAGTCGTCATCTTTTTTGGTTCCATGTGTTGTACAGGTAACATTTATGTATAGCAGGAGAAAAAAAAAAGATCTTACAAAGGCAAAGCCATCAGTTTTGAATATTGGACCAATCATGGTATACTTGGAACAATATTTTGCAACAAAAAGCTTCATGTTTGGAATTTCATCAACAACAGCAGCAATACCACCCTTTGCACTCCCTTTCGAAAGAGCTTCATCACATTCTTCCATGGTTTTGATGGACTTAAGCTTGGAATTTTCAAAACCGAGTTGTTTCAAGATTTCGCAAACAAAAGTGTTCTCTATATAGCCGACATTATCCCCATTCCTTAGAAGATCCTTTATATCAGTGACAGTTGGTTGGAGCTGTTCCACTGTTAATAGTGATGCTAGATTAGCTGTGTAACTTTGTGTCAATACTAGCACAACAAACACCCATATAATCATTAAAAATCTAGCCAAATTGCTAACCACTCTCTCCCCTGTAAAATTTTATTCAAAAAGTGTCAGTATAGGCATAGGTGGGGAGAAGAAAATATTAAGAATTCTTAACTTTAACTTAGGGAGACATGATATGGATGTACTTACTATGTGAAAAGACCATGGTTGAGAAAGAGAACCAGAAACTTGTGCCAACTTGATGTGAGGGAGGGCCACGAAAATCTTCATTAATTCGATGTTCCAGCACCCAAACAACAAAACCAATGAAGATGAAGAAACAAAAAGTTGTAAGCCAGAGGTCCCAAGTCAAAGGTTTCAAGAAAACCCATCCACATTTTCTTCTGGTGTCTCTGATTGGCACAACCATTACTACACCAGATTCTGTGTATGGCATTGTGAAGTCTACATACAATGATCTATTTGATCTAATTGTTGTGTCTCCCACCACAGCATCATACTTCTGTCAAGTAAACATGTTAAATCAGAGCACAATTCCAATCAGTTATTTGTATGTATTATAGACACGAAGAATTTTACCTCAAGATAGACTTGATGGACCAAATCATTGTAAGTGCCAGCGCTGGTGCCGTCAGGATTTTCAAAGGGAATGAACTCAAAAGGAAGAG